AAAGAGAGGAAAAAAGGAACAAAAGCACAACAAAACACATAAAAAACAGTGAATAAAATGGCAGCAGTCTTGTCCTATCAAAAATTAGTTTAAATTTAAATGGACTAAAGGACCCAATCAAAGACATAGCATGTCCAGATGGAGACTGTTTGAAAGAGACTCATGTTAGTTTTAAAGGCACATAGCCTGAAAATGAAGGGATTGAAAACCTTATTCTAAGAAATGGTAACCAAAAGAGAACACAGGTGACTATACTTACATCAGACAAAACACACTTGACACCAAAAACTGTCACTAGAGAAAAGATCATAATACAATGTTAAAAAGAACCATTTCAACAGGAACATGTAACAAGTATAATTATATATGTACTCTACACCAGAGCAACCCAAAGCAGTTATTACCAGAGCTAATAACAGAGTTATTAACAGAGGAGAAATAGACAGCAATATAATAACAATATCTTACTCTCAACAATAAATAAATCAGTAAGTTAGGCTGAGAGTGTAGTTCAGTGGTACAGCACATGCTTAGCATGCACAAGGGCCTGGATTAGATCTCTAGCTATCCTCTTCCCCACTCTGATTGCCCCCATCAGAAAAAAAAGAAAAGAAAAGCAATAAGGAAATAACAGACTTGTAGAACATTATAGGCCAAAGGGACTTAATGGTCAAATACTGAACATTCACCCAACAATCTTAGAACATGTGCTCTTCTCAAGCACACACAGAATATTCTTTATACCAGATCACATGCTAGGCTATAAAATATGTTTTGATGCAAGACTAAAATCATATTGAATATCTTTCTGACCATGGTATGAAATTGGAAATCAGTATCAAGAAGAAAACTGAAAAATTCACAAATATGTGGAAATCAAACAATACACTCCTGACCCAACCAATGCTTCAAAGAACAAAAGAGAAGTCAAAAAAAATCAAGGAAAATTTATAGTGTAAGTGACAACATTAAGGAAGAAGAATCCCAAACCTTACACCTTAGGGAACTAAAAAAAAGAACAAATTCAGTCTGAAGTTAGCAAGTGAGAAGTAAATGAAATAGACAAGAAAACCAATAAAAATGATCAAAGAAACTAAGTTTTTCTCTTTTTCTTTCTTTTCCTTCTTTCCTTTTGTGTGTGTGTGTGTGTGTGTGGTTTTTTTTTTAGATAGGCTCTCACTACATAGCTCAGGTTGGCCTATCATAGCCTAGAATTTGCAATCCTCCTGCCTCTGTCTCCTGAGTGCTAGAATTACAGATGTACTCCACCATACCTGCCTAAAATTTTTTTTAAAGCTAAACAAAAAGAATAAAACTTAACTAGCCTAAGATAAAAGAAAAGACTCAAATAAAACCCTCCCACCATAGAAAGGCCTAGGACCAGATGGCTTCACTGGTAATTTCTACCAAACATTTAAAGAATTAAAGCTGATCCTTTTCAAACACTTCCAAAGGATTAAAGATGATGGAATACTACAAACTTATTCTACAAGGTTTTTCTATCTGATAACAAAACCAGATAAAGGTACCATAAGTAAACAGAATTATAGCCCAACAATCTTCAACAAAATTATGCCAAACCCAATTCAATAGGACATTAAAAGAAACATATACCATGATCAAGTGGGATTTATCCCTGGGGTGAAGATGGTTCAATATAAATCAATAAATGATTTTAAAACATTAACAGAATGAAGAATAAAGATCAAACAATCATCTCAATAGATGCTGACAAAGCATTTGACAAAATTCAATATCCTTTCATGATAAAAAGTTCAAAAACTTAATTACCAAAGGAATGTATATTGATAAAATATACATATACATTAATTCCTATGAGATAGGAATTAAAAGAAAGATACCCACTCTTCCCATTCCATTCAACATAGTACTGGAAGCCCGAGTTAGAGCAATTAGGTAAGAAAAAGAAAGAAAGGCATTTGAATTGGGAAGGAAGAAGAAAAATTGCCTCTGTTTGCAGATGACATGATCTTTAGTAAAAAATTCTGAAGACTTCACAAAAAGAATAACTGAATTCAACAAAGATGCAGGATACAAAAATCAACATAAAAATCTGGTGTATTCCTACACATTAACAATGATTATCTAAAAAGGAAATTTAAAAAATAACCCCATTTACCAGAGCATCAAAAATAATAAAACTCAGGGATTAATTTAACTAGAATTGAACACTGAAACTTATAAAGTATTGAAGAAAAAATTACATCAGACATAAATGAAGAGATATTCTAAATGCATGGATTGGAAGAATCAATATTGTTAAAATGCCCATATGACCAAAATGATCTATAGTATCCTAGAGAGTCCCTTCCTATCTGTCCTGTTTTCAATATTCCATGTCTCTTTCTCTTGATTTACTTCCTTTATAGTAAAGCTTATTTCATACTTATTATTTATTAAATAGATTTTCTAAGAAAGGTATGTCAGAGGTAAATTTCTTTTTCATGCCATCAGTATCCTTGAAGTTGGCTTTTTTGTGTGTTGTCTTTGGTATATATGTAGCTTATGGTCCACATAATGATGTTGTAGTCAATGACAGACTGAATATATATGCTAGTACATACCATATGGCCTAGGCAGATTGTAGTTTTATCATCTAGGTCTGTATACTTTATGGTGTTGAGAATGAAAAAATTGCCTAATGACACATTTCTCTGGATGTATCCTGGTATTAAGTACCATATGCCCATATTTCACTTGAGAGTCTTTCCTTTAAAATGTGATGATTCTCGGTTGCCTACAACCCTGACTGACTGGCAGCTCTGAGCAAGTAATGCTTGGGACTCTGTGGGTAATCTGGCTAGGCCATGTACTTGAAGAATCCCTGATGTCACAATCTTTAGGTCTCTCTTCTTAGACTGGTCAGGTTAACTAGAGAAGATTGTACTAATTTTCTCCCTGGATAATGTATGTCTGGGAACGAAACAGATGAAAGACAGCTGGGAAGTTCTCAGAATTCTGCCATTGAAATTTAACTTACTCCTTGTTTTCAGCTGTGTGTGGTGTGCCCTAGTTTAAAGACCTTTTGTTTTATCCTGCCTAGTAAATAAAATCTCCCGTAATCTGCTAGAGTAATAACAGAAGTCATTCACCGAGTAGGAGAGGGGAACCGAAGGGCTAACTTGAGACTTTTAACAAATCCTCCTGTTTTCAGTCTTAACACCCAACCTTATTGACAGAGGCATTCAAGAATACTAAATACCACATCCTTAGGGGTGTTAGAGTATATAACAGTTTTCAGTTTTTCATACTACTAAAGGATTGAGCTTTTTCAAGTGTGCAGTTATATATCATTAATCTTTTTTTCAATTTCCAAAATTTTGTTGCTATTGCCTCCTGTCCAATTGTGGATTTATGCCTTTAACAAAATTTTTTTTCTACTGTCATTTTAGTGGTGTTTCAGTAGGAGACTGTGTTAGACTTTTTGTTACTGTGACAAATGCTTGAGAGAACAATTTAAAGGAGGAAGGATTTATTTTGCCTCACAGTTTCAGAGGTTTCAGTTCATGGTCTGCTGTCACCATTGCTTCTGAGCCACAGTGAGGCAGAATCTCATGGAGAAAGGGAGTGATGAAGCAAAGTTGCTCACCTTATGGCAGCCAGGAGGCAGAGAACGACAGCAGAAGGGGCTTGAGACAACATATAGCCACTAAGAACACACTCCTAGCCACCTTCCAATCAGGTCCCACTGTCCACAATTATAGCACTTTCCAATAGTCTGTTCAAAATTTGAATCTATCAACAGGTTAATCCATTGATGAACTCACAACCCTCAAGATCAAATCACTTTTAAAATGCACCACCTCTGAACACTGCCTTCAACACATGAGCCTTCTAGGGGATACTTTGAATCCAAGCCATAACAGCAGCAAAAGGAAGTGTATAAATTTAATCAACTGAATTACCATATTATTTTGCAATATGACTGTTGTTTGCTCTTTGAGATTCTCTCTCTTCTTTCAGCTTGTTCCAGTACCCTACATTTGATTTCTTTAGTTACCTTAATTGGAAATAATATGGAAAGCTTAAACATTTTTTTAAAGTTTATTATCTAGACACATGCAATGGTTCATGCTTATAATCCCAGTTACAACAGGTGGAAATCAAGAGGATCATAGTTTGAGGCCAATGTGAGCTAAAACTTGAGATCCTATTCATAAAAATAACTAAAGCAAAAAGGGTTAGAGGCTTGGCTCAAGTGGAGAGCACCTGCCTAGCAAGTGCAAGGCCCCAGAACAAAACCTCAGCACCACTCCTCCCCCACCCAAAAGTTTATTGTTTTATGTTTTCAGATCCTATAAAACAAAATGTAGTTTAATTTTTATTACTCTCTCATTCCACACCTATGGCTATTCTCAAATAAATTATATTTTGATTCCACATGATATTCCCCATATGGACTTCTGTAATTTACAAAATTACAGCATCGCATTTTATCCCATTGCAAGAATGAATCATTTTACATATAAGATGGGGCACAAAATGGAGATGTTTCCTGACCAATTGATTTTTTTGTGCTTTAAACACGTAGAAAATTCTTCAGTTAATCTTGACCAAAGTGGGTACTGAAATAGAAAGAAAATGCCCTGTGGCATTGTGTTGGCAGCACCAGAACTCTTGTTGCTTTGCTTACACCTCAGGACTATTTGAAATTCACTTAATATCAGCTAAGATTCCCGGTCTTTGTCAGTATGATATGACAGTCCAATCCTTTGTCATTTGACATACCCTAACTTAATGGGAAAAACAATGGCAACAACAACAAACATAGGCAGTGTAATCAGAAAGTGACTTGCCTTCTGGGTCTATTGGTGACCAGTTTTTGATCTCAGGCAAATTACCTAGGATGTTAAAAACTAGTAGCTCTTGCATGAAATAGAAAAGACATCTTGGTGATAAGTATAATATATAAGCAAGGCATAACACAATAGAACATTTAGAAACATTTTTAAGGAATGGAGGAGAAAGGTATTGCTTACTTTTCTCCTGTAATGCCTGCAATTTATTCAGTTCTTCATTCTCTTCATCACTATCTTCACTGCTGGTACTGCTGACATCCAAAACTATGTCTCTCTTGGGGTCTACTCGGAGAAAATTGCGGCATTCGAAAGTCAGATGACCAGCTACAGAAAATAGGAATGATAAAACCATACATTTTGCATTTTTGTTTTATTGTCTCATAGTAAGCAACAAATTTCAATTTCAATAATATAAAACCTTTTTAACTTTCACTCAGTTGGTGGTAGTTTTGATTTTTTTCCCTGAACACACTACTCTAAGAAAAAATTTTCCTTTCTTTACTAGAACTTTTAATTTAATAAATGGTTTTGGGGGGGTCCTTTTTTATGGATTCCAGAGTATTGTATTACTTAGTATTATTACTAAACCAAGTAACTAAAAAAATACTATCATACATCAGATTTTATTTTATTCCTTTCTTCTCAGCTTGATACTGAACTCGTAATTACACAACTTTCATCTAGTTAAGACCATCATAATAATACACAAGTATTAATATAACTGAAAATGTTTTTTGTTGTGGATCTAGGGTTTGAACTCAAAGCTTTGTGCTTGCAAAGCAGGCACTCTACCTTTTGAGCCACATCTCCAGTCTATTCTTGCTTTGGTTATTTTGAAGATGGAGTCTTTGGAATTATTTGCTGAGCTGGCATCAAACTGCAATCTCAGTCTTCTAAGTAGCTGGGATTTACAGATGTGAGCCACCGGTGCCCGGCTAACTAAAGATGCTTTTTAAAGGACATCTAAAATTTTAAATCTGGCATCATTTTCCTAAAGACTGTCCCTATAAGAAAACTACAATAGTTGTCTACTTACTGCATGATACAATAAAAAAAATTTAATAATCCAACACCAAAAAGTATAGGAAATAGTATATAACCAATACCTATAAACTATCACCCACATGTTAACATTTTTGTCACACTCACTTTAATTCTCTTAAGGGAATTGCTCACATGAGCATGGCACATACGTGCACACACACAAAAGTGGAGAGCTTTGAACTTGTGTTAGTCTCATTCCATTCTTTCAGTCTTCTGAAGAAACTACACTGAAGTTGATGTCAGTTCCCAAACAACATATTGTATTATGTATAAAAATATAAAATTATATCATTCTATAACTTATTTCTGCCACTCAGTATGTTTTGTCTTTTATCTATGTTAACATAAGTAGATGTAATTTTCTTATTTTATCTACCAAATAATGTTCCATTGCACAAAAAAATCATACTCATTTATTTATCCTATTACTGATAGAAACTTGGGTTACTTCCAGAATTTTGCTATATTTCTGTGTGTGAACCTACCAGGTTTCTTTAGGGCAGTAGCTTTCAAATTTTCTTACCATAACCGTCCAATGCTAAAAAAAAAAAATGCAATCAACTACATTTATAAATACATCCTTAACACAAAAATTGAAACAAAAGTTAGAGGAAACCTTAACTACATCCAATGTTAAAAAAAATGCTGAAGATAAGCAAATCATTGATTTTGTAACCAATTAATCATTTAATATAAGTCTGCTACATTTATTTCTAGTTCTATCTTACTTTGGAAGTAATGTCTTCCAGGAGGCCTAGATTTATGCTAGAGAATCCCCTATTCTCTAGCAATCTTGTTTGGGCAGGGACCTAGTTTTAAGCACCTGCATTCTGTCATCCCATGGAAATGGAAGTTCAAAGACCTTCAAATACCTATAATTATTACCTGTTTAAGCTTCTGCTTTCCTTCATGGTTGTTGGCCTTTGAATATTTCTTAATTTTAATTTTCTTCCTAGTGTATGAATATATACAAATTTCTTAGCTGCCATATTGAAACAGATGGTAAGTGCCCACCTCTCCCTAGAGCAATAGGTCAGGAGTTAAGCACTGCTAGAGAGCATTGTTAAACACTGTTTAACATGGTTACCGAAAGCCTTTGTTGTAAGCACTCTTTATATAGGGGGCTATCTGGGGGAAGAGTTGGCGGGAGGGGGAAAGGAAAGTATACTGAGGAGTGAAGAGAATGGAAATACACTGCATATACACATATGAAGACAGCATAATGAAATCCAACAAACCCTGTTTGAAAGGCGGGGGGCAGAGGGAGAATGGGAATATAATAGAGAGGGTAAACTTGATCAAGGTACAGCATATATATGTAGGTATGGAATTGTCACAATGAAATCCCTTTGTATTATTAATATACAATAAATCAAAATTTTCTTAAAAAAAGGAAGTCTTTTCCTTTAAACCAGTGTTGAGATGCTAGGAGCCTGAGGGTATTTAACTCACTTATGGACAGCTGTTAAATCCTCAGCTGCCTCAGCAACCTAGAGCAAAGGACTGCCAGCCAGGCAGTCAGACTACTCTCATGCCAGCAACCAGCCAATTTCAAAGTGCAACTCGTTCCAGAAGGCACTACCCCATCAAGCAGCATGCACCAGACTTTTATCACCATGGCATCCCACTTTCACCCAGGCCTGAGGCAAAACACTTTCTATACATGGGGGCCCAGCAGAAGACCTGCAACTGGTGCAAACACAGCCCTTCATTTGCATAAGAAACTGCCATGACTAGTGATGGGACTGTGCCATGATTGATGCAAACACAACCTTTCATTTGCATAAGGGGACTGTCCTGATAGGTGCAGACATCCTTGTCACAACTCCTCCTGTGTGAGCAAGCTGTTTTATCCTCCTGTGCTGCCTCTTGATGTTGCACAGTAGGCCTTCCTTGTCTACTTTTGATTCTCATCATCAGTAGGGCAGCTGAGCTGGTAACACAGATAAGAAAAGGAGATATAGTGGCAAAGGCAGCAGCAGTGGCAGGGCAGTGAGAGCAGCAGTGGGACCTGATAAGTGGCTTCCACACAGAGCGGAAAGCAGCAGTAGGGTGAATAAAGTCACCTGAGAGTGAAACTGACAGGAGCAGCAGGGTAAATAGCAGTAGGAGTGAAAGTGAAACAATACTGATGGGGGATCAGCAAAAGATACATACCTCCTGCAGCTTTGGGTCTCAGTCTGAACACCCCACACTCTCCTGAGACCCTCAACCCCAAGTGAAGTCCTAGCTGTCAAAGGCCCAGTGCAAACTGCACTGTTTTAAGGGTGTCTGTGGCTTTTCCTTTTGGACATTTCCCTATAGTTTCTTCCTCAGCACCCATAGTATCCTTCGGGCTTCTCAATACTGTTTCCAACACTAGTCTTCTGCTCTCCATTCAGCCTCTGGCTGCAGTTCATTGGGATCTCTCTACCCCAAGCCCTCGCATAAGCTTGGACAGAAAGACAAGGCACTTTACAAGTGTCTCAACTTCTCCGTCTTTGAGGAAACTAAATTATAAAATGTAAAATATGCATATGAGATAGGGGTTGCACACAAAAGACACACATAACACCAATAAGCAAACTCATGGGAAAAGAAAAGGTGAGGACTCTGTATCAATAGTTAACATTTAAGGCAACTAAAATCTTAAAGGGATTTATAAGATATCAACTATTATTTCCTCCTCTAGGATCATTGCCCAACCACTAAGTCTTACTGTATTGAGCTTTTAAAAAACCTTCTTTTCTGAGAACTATCATGCTCATCTGAGATGTTTACTCCATGGGAAAGCTTAGCATTCTTGTAAAGTATTCATAACTTGTCAACTTTAAAAAAATCTAGTATAAACTCACGATAGACACAACCCTTTTCCTACAAATTTCTTTTTAAACCACTATTTTCATAACAATAGATAATCTTTTGTAACCACTTGAAGAATATCCACATTTTGAGGCATTAAAAAATGTTTCATCTGGTCTTATTAGCCTTTCTCTTACCTCTGTGCAAGCAATACAAAGATTTTGGTCCTCAAACAAAAGATAAACTAATTTTTAAAATGTAGTGTAGTTTCTATCTCAAAGACATATAAACTGAGAACTTCATCTCTAACAGTTATAGAGATGTAACTTTAACACAGAAGGGAAACATCACTAAATTTTTCCATAGGAGACAAGGTAGAAATTGTTTAAAAAATGAATCACTAAAGTCAAAGATGTGAGTAATAAAGCAGAAAGAAGTACACTTGGAAACGGCCAAAACTATTTGTGAGTTGTTGTCTCTTAAAGAATTCTAATTACTGCATATGCTCCATTGTTGTCTATAATAAAGTAGCAATGAGGAGATGAGAACAACATTCTATTTCTAGAAAATGAATTTAATTACTTTCCTAGAAATCTTAGGTTAAAAGAAGTCCAAGAATATAAACTGATATTAGCAGAGAGCCTGGGAAATCCACTTCAGTTTTGAAATACGTACAGTATTTCTATCTTCAGGAGGTTCCTAAATCTGGAATAAAGAAATAGAACACCTAAACTAACAATGGTCAAAAGAAAGTAAACAAACCAGAAACAAGTATAGGCAATTTTTAAAAAAGATTTCATTTCACTATTTCCTGCATGCAAGTCCATTCTCCAGTCTTCATTTTCACGAGGGATATACAACCTTAGGCACCCAGCCTCACAACTGGAGCGAAGCCTCCCTTGAGCCAAGTTGGAGCCTTGTGGGTAGATTGTGGCTGGTGATCCTGGCATGCTCTCACTGGGTCCTTCTGAGGGAGGTTTATAGCCAACACTCTTTCATCCCACCCATGTTTTTGCATGGAAAACTCTTTGATCTCTTTGTTAAGTCACTTATTTTGCTACAAAATAACTCTTCAATTAATTGGAGTATTTTTGACAATCCAGGATTATCTGTATGGTGTCCAAACAACTTAGAAGACAGCAAATGCTATTTTAATAGGCATTAGTAAAACTTTAAAGAATTGTTACATTTAACTAAAGAAATGATACTTATTCATAATACAAAATTACAAATTTATAAATTTACCTACTTAATTAATTCTATTACATTAATGATAGTGGATAACAGTAACACTGTTTAAATCAAGCTTTTGCCCATGAGCAGAAACACTGAAACAAGTCAAACCCTTATAAAAAGGGATAAATAAATTCAATAAACATGAAAAATCTTCAATAAGTAGTGTTCTATGCCTTCATCTAGTAATCCAGAAGGATAAGGATATACATATACACCTGTATACATATATACCTATTCTTTTACTTTTATATTTTAAATATATTTAAAATATACTTGATATATGCTTTCTCCAAATTCTAAATTTTCTACTGTCCACTTGCACTTTATGACATTTCTATTAGTTACCAGATACATAGCTACCTATCACTGGGTCTACAGAAAGGAAGAAAAGTGAATATTTAGTACTAACAGTATTTTCTGAATAACCAGAAGCCTTTAGACCTTTAAACCTGCAAAAAAGTTTGCAAGACTAAAGTGCTTCAGTCCTTAGGGTTAAAGGACTCTATACAGAGTTCCTGAAACTAGGATGCTAACTCAAACTGCCCAAGAGACAATGATCCAGTAAAAGCAATATACAGAGTGCTGTTTTTTTTTTTTCAGCATACTTACGGTAGCCACATTTTTTACAGCCTGCTCTGACATTGTCCTTGTTGCAACCTGAAATACAATTGGATAACATTTTAGGAAATAGGCTTAAGTGAAAACATAAAAACTTTATTACATGAAAAAACTAAGAAAACTATTTGTTATAAAAATTTCTTGAAAACAATTATCTCTGACTCATCTTGGTAATACTGCTTATTTTGACTCTTTGAAACCAATTTACTTGGGGTAAATTTATTCAAATTATTTGGCAAATATTTCAAGAACATATTTTTTTCCCTACCTCAGTAGAAACACAGTAGTGAGGAAGAAATTCCAGGGTAGTTTGGCCTGTCCAAATAATTAATTTAGTAAAATAATTAATTTAGTACATATATATGTGAACATTAAGGGTAATAAATGTTTTTCTGCTTTCTTTTTTGTTGTGGTGTCAGGGATGGAACCCAGGGCCTCACTCACGCATACTAGGCAAGTACTTGGTTACTGAACTACATCCCCATATCCTCTGCTTTGCATCACAAGAAAGAGAATTCTAACTTCCTTAAAAGAAGTGAAATTCCAGAAAATTCACTGTAAGTAATAGGTACTATATGAAACATCTAAATTCAACATTCAAATTTTGTCAAAATAAAACAAAATATTCATATACCCAACTCTGACAAATGTCTGCACTCACAGGACTCTGTGTACTCACTGTTATGTGAGGTAATGCTGAGGATATAAATGCCAGAAATAAAATAAAAAACTGTAATAAAATGTACATAACATAAAATTTACCATCTTCATCATTCTTAAGGGTATTAAATATATTTACCGTGTTGTACAATCATCAATTGTTATCCATGTGCAAAAGATTTTCATCATGGCAAACAGTAACTCCCTGTTGAACAAATGCATGTTCCCTTCACTCCGCAGCCCCTGGTGGTCGCTATTCTTTCCCTTCCTAAGAATATGTCATGTATATGAAGAAATCATACAATACTTGTTTTGGGGGTCTGACTTACTTTATTTAGCAGAATGTTTCAAGGATCAGCCAAATTATAGCTTGGATCAGAATCATAATTCTTCTTTATGGATGAATAATATTCCAATGTACAATTTTTAACCCCCAAAATGACTTCTGTGAAGCAATGGGAGGCTTGGCATATTATTATTCCATTATTTTGATGACAGGCATCAAACTTCTAAACCCTTCAAATGATGGTATTATCTCAAAGTAATATAGTAAAATACTGAATTGAAAACAGAAAATAGTACTAATTTGTAAGAAAAATAATTCAAAAACCATTTAATGTTAATACATTATCTTTCCCCAAATCCTAATTTTGCTCTCAAATATACTTACTGTGTAGTTCTAGTAAAAATAGTTTGTTATAATGTTACAAATACTGTTACAATGAAACTGATACATTAGGGAACAATTTGAGCATAATATGACTTTTCATCCATGAAAAAAGGCAGGTGAACACAGAAAATTGTATCCAGCTGCTGGAGGTGTCCTGGGAAAACACAGATTAGCCTGCATAGCCTCAAAGCACTTCCAGTGACCTGGAAGTGAGAGCAGTGTCCATCACATCTGGTGTTCACACTCCTTGCTGACTTCACATCATTGACTGCCCATCACCTGTTCACAACTCACAAGCTGCAGCTCTTCTGAAGCCTGCTTCCACAGTTAGCTTCAGGGCTTTTCAAAGGTAAAGCACCATATTTATGTATGTTAAAAATCAATTAACATGTAAAACTGTGCACTGTTTTATTAGGTTTCTATTCCTTTTTTTTTTTGTATCACTAATTATGCTTTTGAGCATTGTGCCCCAAACCCTTTTTCTCCATAAACTTTGTTTTTTTCTGCATAGTCTAAGAATGCATATACTACATTATAGCAGAACTGACTGTGGGATGAAATTGGATTAGTATAATCTCAGGTTCTTCCATTGTGAAAATAACCTGATATTTAAAAAAAAAAAAAAAAAGCTCAGAGAATCCAGGTCAATGTTAAGTCTGTTTCCATAGAAACTGCAGATGCTGAATAATACTGAACAGAACTGTGCTAAATGTACCATTACTGTTCCTACAATGGACTAAACATGTAACAGACCTGAAACAATCTCATCTCAGCATGTATTAGATTTGAACACATTTATGACAAAAGGCACTGATAAACTCATCATTTTATATTTTTTAAACAAAATATGAAACCTTTTATGGTCAGGTCATTTTCTTTAACAAAGATGGAACTTTTAGATGAAAGGGAACTATAACAAGATCTCAAAATAATGTAACTCCCTACCATCTATTTCCTCACCAGTCTTTGGTTAAATTAACTCTCAGCATCACCTGTCTTTAATCTTCAGGAGTGCCTGGCCAACTGAAGCCTTCCCCTTGGGTCTTTCAATCCAAGGCAAATGACACTTTAGGTCTGAGACAAGTGACAAAATGAAATGGTAACTGCTCATTCTTCTGTTAGAAGCCTGTTTCTAGGGGCAATGATGCCACTCTCAGATATGGGCTCCCTGGGCATTATTATCCAGGATTTTCTTAGATTAAGTAGGCTCCCTGATCATCTTTCCTTTTCTCCTTAAGTTAACCAGTACTATTCTGTTGTTTGGAGCAAGAACCGGCGCTGACACAATGGTACTCAAAATCTACTGTCGAACTAATAGTGAGGCTGTATTGTGAAACCTGCACTCAGCTGAGCAAATCCATGTTTCCATTTTAGGTTTCCATGCTGTCCTTGGTACAATTCCTTTTTGAAGTTTGCTAAGAGTATTCAGAGTAATAGAGCCTGACACCCCTTCAAAGTTTTCCTTTCTAATCATGACCTGCAACTCAAACACCATTAAATAAAAATGTAAATTGGATCACAAAGACCATCAAAAGCCAACTCAAGAGACCATTGAAAACTTATGAAAAAAAATATGTGCGACTGCAGAGTAACAACAGGCAATTATCTGTAGGCGTAAAACTCAGTAAATCATTAAGAAAAAGACCAATAGTCAGTAGGAGAAAAAAATGGCCCAAGACCTGAACAGAAAATTCACAGAAAAGGAACTAGACATGCCTTTGAAACACAGAAATATGCTTGGTTTCATTTATAATAGGTCAAGTGTACATTAAAAGGTCCACTGGAATTCCATTTTCACTTATTAGGGTAATAAAGATTACAAAGGCTAAAGGGGGTACTGGGGAGGACACACTCCCTTACACTGTTGGGAAATAAATTAGCACTGAACCATCTCTATGGAAAGCAAGCTCACATAATCTAGCAGAACTATATATGTACACACTGCTTTGATTCAGCAATTCTACATCTGGGACTTGATCCTCACCTCACAATTTACTTGCACAAATGAATACTTATGTACAAAGTTATTCATGACAGCATTGTTTATAACTGTAAAAGAGTGGAAATAATTTAAGTATAAATAGAGGAGTGCATCAGGCTCGGCGGTGGTTCAAGTCTACAATCTAAGCTACTCCAGAGGTAGAGTTTGGCAAGACTGTGGTTCAAAACCAGCTCAGACAAAAAGTTCATGATACCTGCCCCCCCATCTCAACAAATGGCTGGGCGTGTTAATAGGAGGACTGAGGTCCAGGCCTGCATAAGCAAGATCCTAAAAAATAAGCAATGCAAAAAGAGAAGATGTGGCTCAAGTGGTAGAATACCTGCCTAGCAAGCATGAGACCCTGAGTTCAGCACCCAGCAGTGCCAAAATACATAAACCAAGAAATCAATAAATAAGAAAATAGGACAGTGACAAAATAAATGGAATGAAAGAATAAGGATGTTTTTTATTTAATGAAATGTGATGATCTCTAAGATATATGATTAAAAAGGAAAAACGCAGATACAGACCAGTGCTTGCCATTTGTATAACAGAAGGGCAAGTTATTTTTATTTCAATTATCCTTCCTTTTACTCCTTTTCTTCTAGGATCTATTAAATATGCTTTGACATATGTTGAAATTCTTTAAGCTATACAATTTTGATTTGTGTACTTTTTAAACATATGTAAGATACATTTTAGTAGTTGACACAAAAGGAAATTTACAAAAAGTAACAGCAGGGCAAAGAAGGAAGAGAGAAGAGGAGGATTAGAGAACACCGGAAAGAAAGGACATCAATAAAAGGGAGTCCTTGATTTGTCTCAGGCTGTTCAGCACCTCCCTGACCCCCTCTCCAAGTTCTTATAATTGAACCACATGCAGTTCCTTGTAATTTTATATCATCTGTGTTTGCAAAGTCAACAATGTAGTCACTGAGAACTTTAACACTAATGCTGAGGACTTAGTACTGTATTTTTATTATTGCCTATGTTGGATTTTGAGGATATAAGTCAAAGTTTTTTTATAATCACTTAAATTTAAAAGTGAACAGCTTAAGTAACTTAAGTTTTCTTCATATAAGTAGTTAGAAATTGCAATCACCTTTGTCACAGGATGCATTCATTTTCAATTGATTAGATTCAATTAGATTGAATTAAATTATTTCTGTGTTTTGAAACAAGCTTTTCATTTGGTTATTCTGTTAGGGTTTCATTAGGGGCCCTAACAGAATGTCAACCTACTGAGCTTTTAAACTTAAAACTGTGGCTAGATTTTATGCCATATCAGTGCTAATATCTATATAATGTATATTTCCTATATTTCCTGTTGAAGTTGAATGCAAAGTAAAACTCCAAGTGTCTAAACTTTTCTACTGATTGAAATTAATGATTTATAGATATACTCCTTTGGGATACCAAATATTGCACTGAAGACAAGGTAGAGAGAATAATAGAAATGAGAAATTTTTCATGAATTTAAAACAGGCTAAATGAGTTCCTTGATGGCAATATTTTGAAGTAGCAGATGTCCTAACATACAGTACCTTCATAATTATCTGATCCCCAAGAGAGGGAAAAAACTAAACCAATCAGAGTTGTTTAAACTACTGACATAAGAACTAATATTTAAGTAAATGCATAAAACTCTTTCATCCACCTGCCTCACAAAATAATCTATGAAGAAAAAAAGCTATAGGTATTACTGTTTAAGATGAGAGACTGAGAAGTTTAATTTATTATCCAATAAAACAGAATCAAGGCTGCTGTCTAGACAAGTCTGCTTACTTTGGTACTAGATTTTGATCAGCAGCAATTTTAGTGCTCAACCCTCTAAATACTTACTTATTACTTACTTATCATGGGTACAGTTCTGAACTGGGTGTCAAGAATTCATAAGATAAATAAAGTCCTTTATTAAAGGAAGGTACACTCTACTAGGTTATCTAGGATAATGCGCCCTTGACTGTAATACATGACAGAACATGCAGGTGTCATAAAAGGCACACGGTTTTGTTAATAAGCATGAAGAATTGGCAGGCAAGACTCCCGCTAAAAGAATGGGAAGGCAGGCATGGATAACAAAGAAGGGACTATAACAACACAGGTATGCAGATAAGAAAAGCCATAAGAGTTCAGAGGTCAGTCAAGTCGGAGTTTGTGTAAAATGGTAAGATGGGTGGCGGAAAGAAAGGACAGGAAAAGTGATTTGGTCATGCTCAGGGGTGTGCACTTCATTCTTGCTGAGAGGAGGAGCTATGGCATTTTAATACTTTAAAAGCATATGAATGCACAGCAAATCAATGCGAGTCAACTCCCTGTATAGCTATCCTTATCTCAACTAGCAAAAACCCTTTGTCCTTCCTATTATTGCTTATACTCTCTCTTCAACAAAATTAGAGATAAGGGCAAAATAGTTTTTGCTGGGTAGCAAGGGGTAAGAGGGGGTAACGGAGGGGCGGGGGGAAGGGGTGAGAAAAAAAAAAAAAGCATATGAAACCTGAGCCATCAATCCCTTCCTTATGGAGACAAGGAAACTAAGCCCCAAAAGCTAAGTGTGTTGAAGAGAATTATAAAATTCACAGATATGGATTTAAAATTAAGTTCTTGTCTGCAGGAATGACAGGATCAGATAATGTAATTTTGGAAAATTACTTCAGCAGCAAGGTGTAGAATGAATTAAAGAGAAAAGAAATTACCTACAGTATAGTTTAGGAGTTAGAAAAAACAATTGGATGTAGCTTAACTTGGAATTCTATTACTGAGATGCTCAGTGGTATGTTTATAAATCTTATTCATTTTGATATGCTAGACTGAAATGTCAACTTAGCCACCGGTAATTCCCTACCTTGGCTATACTTTGCTGAAAGAAACACAAAGACAAAAACAATTTTTGTTTGGGGGGGCTACCAACCATATGAATAACATATACTGCCATCTGTGCAAAGTCAACTCTTCATGGGGAATGGCGAATCACTGACATGGTTTCAACTTCTGAGCTAATTTCAACAACTGAATGGGTAAAGCAATCTTCCAAAGTAAACTTCCCTGAAACCAGTGATCAAATGCTGTTTCTTTAATAACAACTAAGTGTCTGAGATTTTTCTAAGAATCTATACTTCATTGTTACCTACAAAATGGTTTAAGCGAACACACAATGCTACCGAAAAAACAGCTGAAGCACATGACCATCAAACAGACCCCCTCTTGTTTTCAGGTGGTTTGTAGAAAGCAGCCTTATTATGCTACAGTCATACCTTGTAATAATCACTAGCAGAACCATCCCAACAAATGCCAGGGCAAATCCACCTAAATAAAAGAACATAACATAATACTTGTCTTCCTTGATGATCATCTCAAAAGGTTTCAATGGAGCCCTATTTTCCTTTAATACACTGTCTAAATTGATCATCCAAGAAATTACCTTAACATTTTCTGATCTGTATTTTCTAAAGGCACTTGCATTGTACTTTTAGAGCACCCACCATGCCTATTATCTCATTTTTTTCTGGGTTTATCTATATTCCTTGAAGCATTATTTTGAATAGAAAGGTTAACAGATCTATAACACCAGTCTAAGTTTAAGGGAATTTCAAAGAAGGTTTTAAAAAGTCACTTTTGTCTACTTTCTTCAACAGTACGTTTTCATTGTTAAAAGTTTTACAAGGGCACAGAACATGTCCGGTGTCCTTCACTATGTCCATACCACTCAGGTTTTCAAAAAGCTTGCTCAAGCAGCAAATGAGCAATGACAACAGGCCAACTGTGTGATGCAAAGATCACCAGAGGTGATTTGTCCTATGAGCTGCCTAGGCAATCTTCTACAAAAGCCTGTCTTTCTCTATTGACCCCTGAGATATTGATAGTCCCCAGGCTTCAGTCACAGATCTTCTTTCACACTGTATACCTTAGCAAAGTCACCCACTCCATGGCCTTAATTCCTATCACATGTGTGGATGACACTTAAACCACTGCTTGTAACTCTGACCTCTTTCCTAAGATACAAACTGTATCTTATACCATGTATTAGATATTTCCATTCCCGCGCCAGGCTAATGTCAAGCTCCAGGCTAATGTCAAGCTCCACACTTAATTTATCACTATCACCCTAAACCCTGCTCCTGTGAGGTGCTGTCTTATAGTAACTAGTGCTACCCAACTGCTTAACAGTGAGACAGGTAAACCTCATTTCCTTTTTTCCCTGCTCACATGGAATCAATCACGTATTCCTACTGATCCTACCACCAAAAATGTTTCTCCAACCTATCTGCTTCTCTCCTAATGAGACCAACCTTATCTAGACATCATCGTAACCCACCAGAATCACTCCTAACTGATGACTGTGCCTCTAAACCAACTCTTCCAGTTCACTACATAACCATAATGGTTTTTCCAAAATGTAAATTAGCTTAGAAATCCTTAAGTGGCTCCTACTATCTATTAAATAACTCTTTGGCATTGCTTTTAAGGTCCTCCAAGAGCTGGAAACTGCCTTGTAAGATATACAATAGCATGGAAAAATGAATTCCCACACAGTCTAGAGGAGCCACAATGACTTGTCACTTCCTAGTTTTCATAATAGAGAAGTTATTTGACTTCTCTGTCACACAGTTTCTTCATCTATGAAATGGGAGTATTAATATCTACTTCACAGTGTGGCTGTGAAAGAGAAAAAATGAATGTTTGACAGTATCTGATACACATGACAGATAGTACACATTAGCTACTGTTATCTTTTTAGCTAAGGACTCACTTCTCTTCCATTTGTATACTGAGTGCTAACCATAGCAAACATCTTTCATTTTCTCTTCTCACGTATTTCTTCTTCATTTACATATACAGTCCCTCTAACTGCAGTCTCCCCTCTAGACACTCCATCATTCCCTAGATGACTCTTTAGGTCTCATACTAAATGCCATGCTCCAAGTTCTTGTGACCCTTCCTTATATTCTGTTAGGCATCTTTATTAACTGCTCCCCAAGGCCTGTATTTTCCTTGCCATAGCACTAGTCCCACTTTCTGTAAACTTCTCTCTTACTGATAAATGGTAAGTTCTGTGTGAAGAGCAAGGATGTCTATGTTGCTCACCACTGTATTCAATGCCTACCTAGGGCAGTGCCTGGAATGCAGCAGGTGCTTAAAAGTGTGTACGCTTCCTTTTTCAAGCTCCAAACGTGCTCCTCCCTAAACTGCAGAAGGTAGAAAAGCAGTCTTCCCATAACAGCTATCGGTAGAATAAGGTGCAGAAAGACTGGCACAGAGCAAAGAATTTGGTCAAAAAATATGGGTGCCAATTTAAACAAATTCAGGAATTCTGAAACACAATACTTTCAGATTCTTTTCTACAGTCTCCAAATTGGGAGAGGAGTATATTTCACTTAAAAAAAAAGAAAAAAGAAAAAAACCAACCAACCAACCAAACGAAAAACCTCCTGCAAACAAACAGTGCTCTGCCGAAAGGAATGGTGGCAAAACCGGCTTAAGGAAATGCCTGCTCCTAACTAGAACTTCTCAAGATGCTGGGGACAGTAACATTTCTGGAGAACTTATTCCACACTTTGCCATTGTAGGTGAGTAACCTGTAGACACAGAATTGAGCTCTAAAAGGGCCCTCAGACATAATTCGACAAAGCTCCTTCTTTTACAGCTATGAAAACTAAGGCCCAGAACCGGAAAGGCCAGGTCTGCTGCCACACAGCAAGCAGCCTCACACAACAGGAAGAGTTAGGAGTAGAAAGAGCCCTAGACTTGCCTTTCGTCCCTGCGACTTCCAGTGCAAACAATGCCTCTGGCTACACGTGTTCCCACCGCAAATTATTTTTAAGCCACATCGAAGTCCTGGTCAGTTGTGAGCCTCAGGCCCCCTCTGGCCTGCAGCGCACCGCCCCTCACTCCTCGGTCCCTTCTGCCTCACACTTTCCTGTGATCCTGCGCGGCTGGCTTGGCTACGGGCGAGGGAGACAGTGTCTTTCTTTCATTCAGACTTGTAAACTTTTTCATAGACACCAATCAAATCTGTTCATTTTAAGGCCTTCATCTAAATCCCCATGGATTCCTTCCCCACCGCGCCCTATCCTACTCTACCCTCCTGGCTGGGACGTGGGAGCCCTGCTGTTGATTCTCACCTGGGACTGCCATGACGCTGGTAAGAGGAGTCGCTGGATTCCTGACCCGCAGAGAAACCGTTTGCTTCCCGCTGGCTGTGGGACACCGCAAGTTTAAGCAACCTCTCCCACTCGCGGCCGAGGCCCCTACTACCCCGCAAGAGAAGGCCCTATAAGCCTCTAGGGATGGCGGAACCAAATAGCGGCGGATACAGTTTCCAGGCGAGTCAGATTGTGGGCTACACATGGTCAGAACCATTACTTCCTGTTTCGGGAGGTGAGTGCCACCTGCGCACGTGTAAGTAACGTGAACACACTGCTAAAGTTTACAGATAGTCCCTTTTGATATTATTACAAATACAATTACAAGTTATATTAATCTTCAGGAGCTTTCTAATCTTTTCTTATTCACCGGAGGGCTTGGGAATCCCCCCTCAATGTTAGCGGTGGTCGGGTCCGGGAGCAACATGGCGGCGTCCATGAGGAGCTCGCTATGGGATAGGAACTATTTGGTGTCGTGGTCTTGCGTGATTTTGGCCGAGTGAGCTGTGCTCCGACTACACAACTTAAGGAATCGTGTACTGACAGGTGGATAACTTTAGGCACTGGCGGTCCTCTCGCATCCCCAGTAAGGAGCAGTCCTGAGCACTGACCAGGATGAGCAACATCTACATCCAGGAGCCTCCCACCAACGGGAAGGTGAGAACCTCACCTAGGGTACCTGGACTCCCCAAGTGAGTTCCCGATTCGGGGCTTCACGGATCGTAGGGTTGGAAGAGACCACAAGAAATGCTTTGGTTACCCTGCCAATGGACAGTGTTGCAGCTAAAACAAAGTTAGCACTTCTTAGCATCTACTTTCACAGAGCTCTGTCTTCCAACCTTCTGGCTCTGTTTCCTGCCTTAATGCAACCCATACAGGTGCCTTCCAGCGTCTCTAATCTTTGATTTTTTTTTCTTCCTTTTTGGCCATATGGGGTTTGAACTCGCCCTTGCACTTGAGCCACACCTCAACCCCTTTTCCTTTAGTTATTTTTCAGATAGGTTCTCAGGCTTTTGCCCAGAAGCCAGCCTCTGACTGTGATCCTCCTATCTCACCTCCCAAGTAGCTGGAATTACAAATGTGAGCCAACACGTGCCGCTTCATCTTTGTTTTTGTTTTGTTTTAAGTTCATTTTTCAGTTTGATTTTTTTTTTTAACTTGGAGATCATTCTGTTCTCTCTGCAATCATCTATCTAATGTCTGCTTGGCACCTGGCACTCTGCTAGGCGCTGGGGATACAAAGATGGGTGGGTAAAATCTAGTTGTTTGCCAGAAAGAGCTTATATCTTAGTTTGGGAGGTGAAGAAAAGTCTGATGGGCGAGTTTTGGGGAGTTTATATTGCTATGGCAGTACTGAGAAACAAGCAACTGGGAATTTGAGAAAAGCATCATGGAGGAGATATCTTTTGAGGTGGTCTTGAAATGAGGTAATAGAGAAAGTGGGGAGTGGGAAATGTTACCACATTAGAATGGAAGTTGATTTTCTGATAGATTTGATGGCCAAGGTATGTCATTTCCCATCCTGTGTATTTATATGCAGTCAGAGGTAGCAGGATCAATTGTGGAATGTGTCACCTGAATTTGTTTTTTTTTGGGGGGACTAGGGTTTGAACTCAGGGCTTCCCACTTGCAAAACTGGTGCTCTACCACTTGAGCCAAACTTCCAGGCCATTTTGCTGTGGTTATTTCGGAGATGGTGGGGGGAGGTCTCACAAACTATTTGCCTAGACTGGCCTTAAATCTGATCTCCAGCCTCCCAAGTAGCTCAGGCCCCCAGATTTCACCTGAAGTCTTGAAATGAAACCTAGTCATATGTCACATATGAAGTTGGATGAATAAGTATAATGGAGAAAAAAATATAGTTGAGGGGCTGGTAGCTCAGTGGTATGCACTTGCCTAGCATGCACAGGGCCCAGGGTTTGATCTCCAGCACTATAGTAAATAATAAATTTAAGTTAGATAAACTGCATTCATATGAAATACAATTCTGTTGTGTTATTTTATCAAAAGTCATTTATGTAATCTTTTATCCATTGATATTTGGTAATGTGATGGATGCAGTTTGAAAGCAAAAACAAAAATGCTGTGATCCCAACAAAAAAAAAATTGGGGTATTTTGGGCAAAACAATTTTTCAGATTTTTTTTGTTGTTTGAACTTTTCCTGAGCATTAGGTTAGCATCTGCATTCTACCCTCCACACCCTACCCCACCTCCACCCATGTCAGTATGAAAACTCCAAATACCTACCTCCTCAATTTCCAAATGCCTCTTGAAGGCAGTGTCAACCCCAGTTATAAGTACTGGTGGAGATTGAACAAATTGTTCATCCTGCCAGGCAGGGCCTTCACACTTACTTTTCCTCTCTCTAGTATACTGTTTTACCTGTTCAAATATCAACCTTAGCATTGAGGCCTTATGTAACTATGAAATTGCAAACCTCAGTCGTACACTGCATCCCAGCATTCTCTGGCTCTCTTAACCTCTTTGTTTTTTTTTTTTTCTCTAATATCTGTTACTTGTTTTTTCTTTTTTTGCAGCACTGGGATTTGAACTCAGGGCTTCATGCTTGCTAGGCAGGTGCTCTTCCCACTTGAGCCACTCTGCCAGCCTACTATTTGTTTTTTGTATCTTCACTTCTTCCTTCCCCCATAGAATGAAAACTATAAGGGCAGAAACAAGCATCTTGAAGGGGGTTTGACGCATAGTACATGGAGTTCAAATATATATTGAAAAAAAAAGATTGGATGGATGGATGGATGGATGAATTAACACTATATTTCTCTTAGTTTCTGACAGGTATTAAGCTTTAGTAAGTTCAAAATTATAATGTTTCTGATCAAGGGCAGGTTTAGTTGCTTTACTCTAGAGGGTGATTTGACATGGTTGTGTAGGTGAAAAGTTTTCACAAGAATACATTTCTGAATAGGAAATCATTCATTCCACAAATATTTTTTTGAGTGCCTAGCCCATGCCAGTCTGTATCTTAGGCTTTGGGGATTCACTGGAAAGAAAACTCAGCATCATCCCTCTTATTATGGAGTCAATTGAGTGAACTATGCATTGAGGAAATAATGCAAACAAATTATGATGAATACTTTCTTTTGAACAGAAATAGGTTGAAGAGAGCATAAGGCATGGTCCACCCATTTTCCTCCAAAAACAGTTTGGGGTCTTTTTCTAGCATACGAGTGATTAAAGACTTTAAAGTTTTAAACTTATGTACTGTAGAGTGTATGGCAAAGATTTTGGCTCGGAAGGGGTTTAAAGCAGATGTCTAATAAGTCTGCTCAATGAATGCTTGTTTAGTTTATTTACTCTCTACTGGTACATTGGGCACTAAAGATGACAGATATCATCAGAATAAATGGGGCAAATTTGCCCCCTTCAAAGGCCATAGTTTCAGTTTGGGAAATAATTGACACATGATACCAGTGGTTGACCTCTGGATGTTGTCATGACCAAAGGAAGAAGGAGCTGTTATTAATCCAGTAGCCTGACAGTGAAAAGGTAAGGTTATACAAGGTGGCTCAACCATATATGCTTCTTTTTGCTAGGTATAAGTTACCTGTGGCCAAACAAAAATTGTGTAAGAGTAATAATTAGAACACTAATGGCTATCACTTCCTGAACACTTATTTGTGAGATACTTTTCTAAGTAGGCGATGTATAATAGCAGATTTTGTCCTCAAAATAAATCTATAAGGCTATTATTACTATTTTTACTTAAGGTAATAGAGTCACAGAGTTGTTATATATCATGTCCAAAGTCACAAAACCAACATGTAAAAGAGCCATTATTTGAAGTTGGGCATACGAACGCCAGAGCCTGTGGAAGGAAGGATGGTGACGTGCATTATTTATTTTTAGAGAAATGGTTACTAAACCAGTGAATACCTACTTCAAGGGGTAAAAACCATTCTTGGGATGCAGGAAGAAAGTCTACATCTATGTGTATTTATCTTTCCCTTGTTTAAATGCAATATTTTGTATGAATATGAAAAATACCATTTAAGTTCACTTACTTGTCCAGTCACTTTTTTGTATCATGATATAATTTTTCCTAATGGCTGGTGACATGGATTTGTAGACCTTGGTGCCTAGATTAACTATACCAGCTGTCACAAATTTCATATTGGAGATACTATTAATAATGTAACATAAGCAAACCATAAAAAATGATAGAGCTGATGCCTCAGCATGGAAAGTCTGTCAAATAATTAGAAATTATTATGATTATTTGAAACATAATTTTCTATTGTTAATGGTGAACTGTGTCTTAAATGTATATCATGTCTTGAAATATTTATCATTAAGTGTATAAAACTATTGTTTATATTCTTGGTTGATTTGTTAAAGACATTAAAAAGCTATATATAGCAGGAAGATAGACATCTTTAATTTGAAAGCAACCTTATGTTAGTGAAAGAAGCCAGACACAAAAGGGCACATATTGCATGATTCCATTTATATGAAATGTCCAATTAACACATCATTCAGATGGAAAGTAGGTTGTGGTTGTCAAGTGGTAATACAGAGGGAAATGGAGAGTGATTGATAATGGGTGCAGGGTTTCTTTTTAGGGTGAAATGTTTGGAATTAGTGGCAGTGACTACAGAACTTTGTGAAACCACTGAATTCACTTTATAAAAGTGTGAAATGATTGATATTGGATTATATGTTAATAAATATTATAAAAATGATCATTGTACCTTTAACAAAATTGAAATAATTATTTTTAAATAGTTTATATAAGCATAAGATCCTTATTTGTGTGACTTTAAAAAATATATACATAGTAGAGTAATAAAGTACTGCATGTATTTAAATATATATATTTTCCTAACCCTGAGTCCTAGCCCTTACTTCCCCTCAATTATTTTTTTCTGATAAGGTTGCACATTGACAAAAAGTTTGGGGATCGATCTTCAGGATTACAAAGAAAAAACATGTCTAGGTTCTCTTTTACAACAGTGCTTCATTTCATGTACACAAGGATAATGAAACAGGACAGGACATGATGTATATCAGACCTTATGGAAAATCAGAAGACAGGGCCTAGTGTTATTCCAGATACGTTCTGAGGTAGAGGGAGTTATCTAACATCTCATTTTGAATCCCAAATATTTGCTT